AAATAAAATAAAATAAAATAAAATAAAATAAAATAAAATAAAATAAAATAAACAAATGCTACTCAGGGAAGCAGAGGCAGGTAGATGGTTGTGAAGTTTGAGGCCAACCTAGTCTACAAAGAGAGTCTAGGACAGTCAAGGCTACACAGAGAAACGCTGTCTCAGAAAACAAAACAAAACAAAACAAAACAAAACAAAAAAAGCCTGGTATGGTGGTACATGCCTATAATCCCAGAACTCAGGCAGCAGAGGCAGGGGGACAGCTGCAAATTCCAGAGTGGCTATCCTGGTATATATCGTGAATTCCAGGCCAATGTGGGCAACAGAGTGTGACCTTGTCTCAAAAAGCGAGACAGAACAAACAAAATAATAACCCAGGAGAGTGGACGATTCAAGGGGCCTCACCGACTTAAGCTGGCTTCACTCAGGAAGCCTCAGTGTTCCTACTGGTGACACTGATGTCATGGGAGAGCCAGGCCAATCCCCTCACTGTGTCAGCCTACCTTGAGGAGCTCAGGTGCCTGCTTCTTCAGTTTCTCCATCTTCCACTCGTTCTCACAGGGGTTGAGTGAGGAGGGCGGGGCGGTGCAGGAGCACCGGCAGTCGACCCCTGAACTCAGCGTCTCCACTGTGTAGAAGTCCTCTACTCTTGCGCGTCCGCTTCGCACCCGGCTGCACGCATCCTTGCTCAGCGGGCGCATGATGCATTTGCAGCGGCAGTCAGAGCCCTCTGAGGTCATCCGCACTTGGTCCAGGTCACTGAACACCTGCAGGAGGGTGGGCAAGAGGGGTTCCATTTGGCCAGTGCTATGAGGACAGGCCTGGTGTGTGTGCATACAGCAGAATCCAGCCTGCCCGAAGTCTCTGGGTGACAGAGGTAGTGGAGAAGGAACAAGGACTCAGCAGCATGATCATAATGACAATTCAAATGTTAATGCCTGCTTGTGGAAAAGTCCAATAGGTCTGCATTTGGTTCTTCCCTTTAATCCTGGCACTCAGGAGGCAGAGGCAGGTGGAACTCTGTGACCTGGAGGCCAACCTGGTTTAGGTAGTGAGTTCCAGGACAGCCGGAGCTACATAGTGAGACCCTGTCTCAAAAAGCAAACAAAAAACAAATAAAACAGTAAAGAGACATGCCACGTGACTCAATAATTGTGTGGAAAATGGTATCCAAAGACTTGTGTTCATAACAGCTACACTCACGATAGTCACAAGAGGAATCAACACACTTTTCCAGCTACTCAACAGAGAATGTGCCATCTCAAAAGAATGAAATATCACTCAGCAACATGAATCAACTCTGGAAACTTGCAGTAAGTGAAAGAAACAGGATCCACGGGGACTGAAGAGATGACTCAGCCATTAAGAGCACATACTGTTCTTCGGTTCCCAGCACCCACTTTAGGACAGCTCACAAATCTGTAAGTCCAGCAGCAAGGGATCTGACTCCCTCTTCTGGCTTCTGCAGGTACCTGCACTCATTAACTCCCATTAACACACATAATTAAAAATTAAAAATAAATCTTAAGAAGTCAGATACCATCCTTTATTAATTGATTCCATCCCTATGAACTATCCATATTATGCAAACCCATAGAGACGAGAAGCAGATGAATAGTTGTTGGGACTTAGGCCGAGGGGAAAGAGGGACAGCTACTTTGCGGGAATGGGCTTTCATTTGAGGAGGTAATAAAACTGTTCTGAAACCAGATAGCAATGATGGTTGCACAAACAGAGAGGGTGCAGTCAAGGATGAACTTCAAAACCTTTTCTTTATTATTATTATTATTATTATTATTATTATTATTATTATTACTATTATTTGCCTCTCTTTGCCACAAGCTTTTTCATGGGAGCCATGGTGGCAGAGGAGGCAGAAAGGGTGCACACTATGCCCTTTAATAACATCTGTGGTGTGGAGATGTGTGAGCTGATCCTCCCTTTCTAACTGCTCTTCCTACTGTCCTTCCCTTATGGTGACTCAGCCTCAGACACAATACTGTCCCCATCAAAGCTCCATCCCCTCACTGCATGGTTCATTTCATCACCTCACATTACTGCTACCTCTCCTTCCCTAACCAGCTATCTCGTGTTTTTAGATATCTCTTCAGTTTATAACTTTTTCATTTATTATAAAGCCATGCCTGGAACATTTCCATATTTTCTAAGTTTCTGTCTTACCTAAGTCCATTACGGCATCATTTGTAGGGCGAAGGATGTGGAACGTAGCCCTGGTGGAGCACTTGCCTAGCGTGTAGATGGTCTGGGTTCCATCTTAGTGCTAGGAAAACATCATATAGAGGCAGGGTCTTGGTTTAGTTCCCTTCTGTATGCTCAGGTTGTGCACACCTACCCCATAGAGGTTCCCCATAAACTCCTGCTGGATAAAGAGGCTGCACTTTACATACATGCTGCAATGCAGGGTTAAGAGTACAGGAGCACAGGGCCTTGGAGCAGAAAAGACAGCTCCATGGTGAAGAACACTGACTACTTTTGTAGAAGGCTGGGGTTTGCTTCCCAGAACGCTTATGGTTGTTCAAAACCACTGGCAAATCCAGTTCCTGGGATCTGATGCCCTCTTCAGACCTTCTTGGGTACTGCAAACACCTGCTGCACATATATACACACAGGCAAAACACTCATACACATAAAATAAAATAAATCTAAAAAATAAAACAAACCAAACCACTGGATCCTGTGTGAGAGGACAGCAGGGAGCTTATATTTTCTGTTCCTGTAATCATCCTGCATTTGGAAAGTTTGCTCCTGACTCAGGGACTAGTGACGACTATAGAAACAAAAGAACATCTCCTAAAAAACAAACAAACAAACAAACAAACAAAACACCAAGTGCTGGCACATACAAAGTGTGCCAGTGTGAGAACCGAACCTTTCCTCCCTCTCCCCACTCCTTTCATCTTCCACCACAACCTGCACCCTCCATCGATTCAGAAGAGACAGAAGTCCACACAGCTTGGGCTCACTCTCTCCAGTGTGCCATTTGATGGCAGGCCCAAATATCCTGGAGTCCAAGGCCAAGCCAGATTACCTGGGGCTCATCTTACTTGGCTGACACATGTGGGCACAGATCCCTGCTGTCAGTGTGACCCGAAGGACCCAGGTGGACTTAGAGGTGGAGTGCCAGTCCCACACTCAGCCAAGGCAGGAACACGCTGAGCTGTACAGCATTTGCAATGGTTATTACAGGGAGCAGCATCCTGATGGGGACCTGGCTATCTGTTTCTCTGTGTGGGTGCATGGGTCTACTTTTTCCTATCATTAGCAACATCCTACAGATGAGGAAACAGCCCCTAAGCCATGAAATAAATGCTGGGTTGGAGAGCATGAGCCTGGGCTGTGTAGAATTCCTCTGTTTCTTCTGCAGCTGTACAGAGGCCAGGGAACAGTGGGTGGTGAGGAGAGTTAAAAAGGAGGTCTTGGTCCTGCCCTCTGTCCTGGTCCTCTGTGAGTGAAGTGCACTCTGGGTGCTGCAGGCTAATTTTCCCCTATTTGTGAAAGTCAGGTTCAGAGGCCTGACCATTCCCTAGACTTCTGATGACCCCAGAACACCACCAGAGAGGGAATCAAATCCCTCTCAAGTCTGCCAAGACTCCATGATACTGTATTACTTCCTCATCAGGGTCAAAAGCCCAGCATATATAGATGAGAGAGGAGTCTCCTGCAGGACCACCATCTATCGATTCTAACCCCACCCATCCAGCAGCTGCCTCCACATTAGACTGCTACATTCCTTCCTCCTCAGATGAGGTGCTATGTCCTGATGGGGGTGGCCAAAGTTCTCACACTGCCAGGAGCTGGAAGAAGGCCACTGCTCCCAGACCCAGGTCCCAGGAATGCAGCGGGGTCCTGGCTCCAGCGCCGTAAATCTGGACATGGCCAGGCACCACAGTGAAAAGCTAGGTCTGGGCTATAGTCAGTCGTAACAACTGGAACTTCTTCCTGCAAGGTCTTTGACCCCTCTGAACTCCAGCTCCCCTCTCTGTAAAGTAGGATGACCATCAATCCCTTCTTGTCATGAAACTTCAAACAGTCAATGTCTGCAGAACAGCTGTCACGGCTCTGGCCTAGAGTAACTGCTAATTTAAGTAATCTATGCCATTTATGCTGCTTCTTGAAGCCCTCCCTCATATTACCTGTGCTTTTCATCTCTCTTTGCCCTTACCACAACTCCACGGTACATCAAGGGAAGGCTAAACTACAGTCTGTCCAGGGTCATTCAGCACAGCCCGATTCCAAAATGTTGTTTCCATGGTATCCTCCCCATGTAAGTATACGTAAATACATGGAGTACTTCCCGTCACCAAGCCAAGGCTTCCACCCCAGCAGTTGAGCTGGGACCGTCAGAAGACTGCACAGAAAGATGGCAGGGGATTTGGGGCTATCTCCTGGGTCTGTTCCTTGGCATGAAGGATAAAATTTGCTGTCAAATAGGAAAGACCCTGCCTCAGCCCCCATCTTTTCCTACAGCTGTGCCCAGCACACGCTTCCACCAAAGCTCCCAGACGCAGAAGTGGAGGTTTGTGCCTAGAAGGCCTTTCGGTATTTGCAAGAAAAGCTCACAGTGAGATGCCTAGTGGGTAGCTTGACATTTGTTTGTTTGTGTAGAGAAATCGATAAATCTGACTGGAGTAAGAGTGCTCTCATGGTGGTGGGGTAGGCTCACGTGAGGCATGTGAGGCTGTTCACATCGGAGCTGCCTTCTTCACAACTAACCCATTTTACCTGAGGCACTTTCCCTCCAAAGCCCTCAAGTGAAGTCCACTATCCTCCTCCCAGAGGATACCTCCTCCCAGAGACCCAAAGTCATCCCAAACTCAATCCAGATCTCTTCCCTACCCCGTGTCCACCTTCCCTCTTGCCCAGGCAAGGTCTCTGCTCCTTCTTTTTACCCTGGACAACTTACCAGTAATGGTTTTCTGAGGTGTTACCCTAAATATTTCCCAACTTTTGTACCTTGCAGTCAACTCCATGACCATAATCCAGTGGTGGTGTGTATTACTCTATACTGGATTAGTTTTTCAAAATCACCTCCTTTGGTGACCAATGCTGTGCCTCAGAATTACATGGGGTTGTTCTTGGAAAGTGCAGATAGCTCACTGTCCCAGTGTGGTTCTTTGGGGTGATCAAATCTATGCCCTGGGGAACGACCACTAACACTTGGCAGGGCTGACAAGAGAGTTGTATGTGATGCTGAATGTAAGGTGCTGAGCACAGACCTTGGTTCTGGTGTTCTACCAAAGTAGTGTTGAGGCAGGCCCATTTCTTATAGAGATAGTGGGGTTTGGCTTGGCCCGACAGGGTACTAGGAAGAGAACTCCATTACCCGGTTGTTCTGCTGTTTCTGCTCAGGGCCTGCTTCCAATTACACCCACATGCGGAAACTCCAGGAGTAGATGTGAAGCAAGACCTAAGCCCCTGGGACTGGCCTCTCTGGAATATCTGACCTGGCCCAGGAAAACATGGTCTGCTCGGCTAAGCCCCCTCTGGTCCCTTGCTTTGGTCCCTACAGGCATCAATCTTTCCTCTTTGCTCAAGCCCCTTTCCACCCTTGCATGTGCACAGAGAATAAGGTCCCAGCAGCCCTTTCTCAGATGGAGAGATGGTAAATTATCACTTCCAGGGAGTATCTGCTGCCATGCCTGGGTGTCTTGGGGCTACCTGCCCGTCCATCCCAACCTCAAGGCTGGGCAGCCATGTGAAAATACCAGGGCAGCTGCGAGTCCCCCCTCCTACTTCAGGTCAGACAAAGCACTTCCTTAGATGGAAATTCCAAATCCTGTTTAGGATTGCCTCACTATAAACATCAACTTAAAATGCAGGGAGACCAGCAGAATACCAGGGCAAGTGTAATGGGTAGGAGCCTGCCAGGAAGAGGAAACCTGCAGAGGGGCCAACTTAGAACTCTAGGACCCTCACTCAATTCACTTCAAGTTCCAAGGTGGTCCTCTTAAGCTACCCTCCCATCCTACTCCCCCCCCCCCAAAACCGGGACAGGCTTAGAGGGGAAGAAGTTGGGGCTGTAACTGTAGAGGAGAGGGTGATAATGAAAACAGCTCGGCAGAGCCAGCAGGAGTCTGGCTGGGCTTAAGAATGCGGAGTAAATTCACCCATCACTTGATTTTTATTTTTCCCAGCTGGCTGAAGTGGAGCAGGAATGGGAGGTGTCTGGGGGAGGGTTGTGCTGGGTCCCCAGCTGCTTTATCCTCTATTCCACCAGCCCCAGCTTGCCCTGGGACAAGTAAATATACCCCCTTCCCAACCTAGCAAGTGTTTGGCTGACTCACTACATAAACAGGGTGTTGGGTTTTCTTTGTCTTAGCTTTGTTTTGGATGTAAGCCCTCCTGCTCTATAGCCCTTTGCAAAGCTCAGAGATGCCCAAGTCCAGAAGTCCTTCCCCAGGCATAGAGGAGAGGCAGGGGGTGAGAGAGAGTGCTGATCATGTCATCTGGGATTTTGTTCACTTGTGCTATCTGAGCCAAAGGGGACACTGATTTTCAGATAGAGGAACGGAAGCCCAGGGACATGCAGTCATAGTTCCAAGTTTGCACAGCCAAAGAATGGCTTTTACCCTTTACCTGCTCACATGTGGGCTCAAGTTCTACTAGAAAAACGAACAAACAGAACCTGGAATGGCATGAGGAGAAGCCACTGCTGCCCTTATCCTATGTGAGCAGATACCTACATTTTCCCTGTGGGTCAGTAGCTCCACAACCTTCCTGGTGCTGTGACCCTTTAAAACAGTTCCTCGTGCTGTGCTGACCCCCAGCCATAAAATTACTTCGTTGCTACTTCATAACTGTAATTTTGCCACTCTTACGAATCATTATGTAAATACCTTTGATATATGACTCCCGTGAAAAGAGCCTTTGACCCTTTAGGGGTCACGGCCCACAGCTTGAGAAACAGCTCTAGGTCCCTCTCCATCAGGTCATTTTTAGAATACCCTAAGGGGATCTTGATCTGTCTCACGTGCTTGCTCTGCCTCTATTCTGGATCTAATACCGGGCTTTGGGATTCCTGTAGGGCATAGATAGATCATCTATCGGGCACCTTCTAAGTGTGGTGCTAAGCTTTCTGCAGGTATAATCTCATTGAATCTAGAAATCATGAACAGAGGGTACAACCCCCCCCCCCCCATGCTTATAGGTGAAGAAATGGTGGTGGACATCTTTAATCTCGGCACTGGGGAGGCAGAGGCAGTAGGCTCTCTGTGAGTTTGGGGCCAGCCTGGTCTACCTATTGCAATCCATACAAGCAAGAATTACACAGAGATCCTGTTTCAACAAAACAGAGGGAGAGGGGAGAGGGGAATAGAGAGAGGGAGCGATGGGGAGAGGCTCAGAGAGGTAAAGCATCAGCTAACAGGTGAATTCAATATGTGAACTCAGGCCTCAGAGGCCAAGGCAAGTGGGCAGCCCAGATTCAGTGCAAACCCGGGAGTCTCTGGGTAACAATTGCCAGTGGTCTACCCCTTCGTGGTCAGCCTTCCACGGGCACTCTCAGCCAGTTGCTCTTATTGTCCGCTTTTCCTTGCCTGCCCGTCCCCAGAGCACCTGGGACTTCCCCACTTGATGCTGAATTTGAGCCCGATCTCTGAGTATAGTGACAAGGTCCAAAGCGCCTCTTCCTCGGGCTCCAGGACCTAAGCACCCTATCATCACCAGCGCTTCTTCCTGCACATGTTTTCTCAAGGCTCTGATTCCATCAGAGTCCAGACTAAGACCCAGTTCTGACCTGCCTTTTCCTAGTCCCCATCTCCCTGCTCAATGAATGCATCTTTCTTGGCGCACCCCCTCAGCCATAGCGCCCCCTCGCGCTGGTCACCATCCAGCTGTGCCAGGTTCCATCAGCGGACGTACCTTACTGTCCAGCCACACAGGACCAGCCCAAAGCAAAAGCAGCAGCAGCCGCCGCAGCCTCAACTGGAGGCACCAAGGCAGGAGAGCTGCCGCTGCCATGGCTCGGTGGACAACGACGGCTCCGCGTGCACGCTAGGGAGCGCCGGCAGTACTGCGCGGTCCGCGCGGCAGCCCGGCTCTGCCGAGGGGGCGCCCCTCGGCCGGGTGCCCCAGCAGCGCCGCTGGAGGTGGAGCTAGGGTGGAGGGACACCCGCCCCTCCTCTCCCCTCCCCGCCCATCCCCTGCGGTCCGGCGGTTTTGCGAAGAGTCTCTGGGAGAGAACTGTAGCTGCAGCCAGTTAGAGAAGTGCGGGCTCGCAACGGAATGAGGTCCCATTCCGTGAGATGAAGGGCCTCGGACCTGTCCCTTTGCCTTTTTTGAGCCCCAGTTTCCCTATCGATAAAAGGGAGAAAAGAATCTTTTTGGAATAATTGCAAAGTCAAGTGAATGGTACTTTCAGTTCAGCCCTTTCTTTGGCAAAGCCATCCTGTCTCTCTCCTGGACACTGTCAGTTTTAGCCTTTTCAAGGCCCAGCCCCTTCTCTTTCACATCTTCCTCCTCTTTCTATTGTGCCCATAAGAGCTACTTTTTAATAGCCCTCTCCTTTCCATCCTCAGCAGAGCCTCTGAATTCTCAGTTTCCCAGGCAGCGATTGCTTGCTCCAGGTGTCTTAGGCCACTCTTGCCTGAGGTGCTTTTGCTGGATCTTTTGAGAGCCACTGTAATGAAATTCAAGATGGTCTCTTATACTTACTAATTCAGTGTTCTCTCTCTCTCTCTCTCTCTCTCTCTGTCGTGTGTGTGTGTGTGTTTGTGTGTGTGTGTGTGTAGTGTCTTTCCATAGGCTCTCCTGAAAGTGTGTAAGAAGCTGATGGGCAAGATGTCTTCTTCCTCCATTGCTTACTTTTTTGAGACAAGGTCTCTCATTGAACCTGGAGCTCTTTTGGCTGCACTGGCTGGCTAGTGAGCTCCAGATACCCTTCTGTTTCTGCCTTTCTATTTATGTTACTTATACACACCACAACCACCACAGCCACCACCTTTTAATGTGGATGGTGGGACATCCCAATTCAAGTTCTTCATTTGCAAAGAAAGCACTGCTGATTCATTCGTTTATTTCCCTGCTTGAGTTCTGGGTTACACTCTTTTAAACTGCCTCCCACCTCAGTTTCCCCCTTTTATTTCAACAGGGGTCCTTCCCAGACTCTTTGTAGGCCCTTCCAACCCTCTGAGCACCCTTAGAGGCTGGATTCGCTTTCTCTTCTACACAGGCGACTGTTCTGATCACTTGTATGTTTACCTGGCTTACTGAGCCTCCATTGCACAAGCAAGGAACACTGACTTGTGCCCTGAGTATAGCCACACCCATTCACTCCTTACCTCTGCTCTCAAGTATTCCCCCTCCTCAAGAACTTCATTCCCACAGTTTATTTCCTGTTTCCAGCTCCCCGTGGGGAGGCCAATAGGCCACCAGCGCATTCATGCTTTGTCTCCCCAAGCAGCTGGCTCAGTGGCTCTCAGACTGTGTGGCCCCAGCCCAGCACCCTCAGTGTCACCTGGGAACTTGTTAGAAACACAAATACTCAGGCCCCAGCCCAGTTACTGAACCAGAGATTCACCAGGAGGCAAGGATCCAGCAACTTATGTTCTCAGGAACCCCTCAGGGGCTCTAGGGCAGAGAACGAGTGATCTAGTCTGAGGTCTAATTACTGCATGACTCTCAGCTGACTTCAGTTAAAAAATCATGTGTGCAGTCGGTATTTGTTATAGATGAGTTCCTTTCTATCTTTTTTTCTTTTTTTAGTTTTTTGAGACAGGGTTTCTCTGTGTAACGGTATGGCTGTCCTGGGACTTACTCTGTAGGCCAGGCTAGCCTCTAGCTTACCTCAGCCTCTGCCTCTGCCTCTGCCTCCCGAGTGCTGAGATTAAAGGTATGCCACCATGTCCTGTTTATAAATAAGTTTCTAGAGATCTCTTGCAGAGGAGTCAAGGCCTGGTGTAAAAAAAAAAAAAAAAATTATTGGGCATGCACTGTATTCCGTACACATACTGTACATCTGTGTACAGGACACACATGACATCAGCATGGTGGTTATTTCCAAGAAGATTTTGCAGACAAGAATTGAACATCTTCATTAGATACTTCCCTCTTTTTTTTTTTTTTTAATTGTAGGTTTTGTAACATGCTTCCTATCTTTTCAAAATTTAGACAAAGTATACTTAAAACAAATCCAACAAGGTAGGAGTTCTTTTTCCTAGCTTTCTCATGGATGCAGGTAGTCTGACTGATTTTTTAAGGCAGGCTCTGCTAGAGCAAAGCAGAGACCACTGGAGGAACTCTGCCCCCTTCTGGACAACATACGGTGTCCTCCTATGGACACTTCTGTCACCATGAATAACTCACAACTCAAATGTATAAGGTCTCCAATTAGCACTGGGACCCGGTTTGTGTTGTTACTTCCACAGAAAGTCCTTCTCACTCAGGCTGGCTCACTCTTGCTACACCTCCTAACCTTTGTCGATCCCTGTCTTGGAAATCCTGTCACACACTCTCAGCCCATCTGGCACACCTGAGATTTCTTAGCTACAGCACTCAGGCAATTATAGGTTTTTGTGATTATTTGATTTGTGTCTATATCATTCACTGTAGGGTAAGAACCTCATGATGAGGCCCACACTTGTCTTGTTCTTAGCTGTAGCCCTGCCTGCCTCTGGCTCCAGGATCTCAGGATGGGTCTCCTTCAGACTGATCCTCATCCTTAGATATATTCCTTTTCATTTATTCTGTCTTTCCTGTAAATAAATGCTTAGACAGCACTTTAAGTATGTCTTACAGAGCCTGAGCCTGACTCATCAACTGTAAACTCAGAGCAGAGGGCACTCCTCAGGGCTGTGGGGAAAATGTCAAGAAATTAGAAAAAAGATCCAGTGTGGGTGCCAGACTCTTGATGGATGCCTATTTAGTGAGTGTCTCCTGTATAGAGGAGATAATGGCAAGAGAGTAAGAGGATTGGCTGGACAAGGATACCTGGGGAGGCTTTGGGATAGAGGGAGCACAGAGCTGAAAGGAATGAATTGTTTCCCGAAGCTGAGCACGTTGACTTACAGACTTCACCCACCTTTCAAATCCCAGGCATCAGATATCTGCAGGGCCACTTTGCATTCCAGGGAAGAAGAACATTCCAGGGAAGGGAATGTTCTGCATCCATGGGCCTGTGATAGAATCTGGCTCTGGGAAGAGTATGTGATCCTAACAAAAACTTTTTTTCAAGTTTGGTATTAACTTTATTCTGTTTTCTGTATAACTTTAAGTACATAAAAGTTTACTTCCATAGTCCTCGGGAAATGGGCATACATCACAGGACAATTTCTTTTCCCACAGAATAGAGAACTGAAGAAGGATTTCTTCCCTGTGACACTAAGGGCTCTTCTTTTGTTGCAGGGGCCTGACCTTGGGAAAATTCAGAGACCTTGGCAAGGAAGTAACCACTTCAAGATCATTTCTTACAGTCGACCTAGTCCTAGATAGGGCTAAGTGGGAACACAGAGGGACCTAGTTGTCCCTTGATGGGAGGTATTAAGGAAAGTGCCACTGAAGAATTGGGACAGGATCTAGGAAGTTTGAGTTAAAGAGTTAAAGAGGTCAGGCCAAGGGCATTTCAGCTTTCCACCGATTGAGTTCATAAAGGACATCACTTTTGAGCCATTTCATTTGCATGTGAGAATAACAATATCAGAGTCACCTCACTGAGTAGCTGTGGCAGGCTAAGTGTAAACAGCATTAGTGTAAATCTTTCAGAACAGCGGCTGGCACGGATTAAGGATGAAACCAGGTTAACTAACGTTGGTAATGGACAGTTATTGGAAAGTGCAGGAAGGAAGCCTCCTGAATAGCAGGTAAGGGAAGAAGCATGGGGAGCAATGTGGGCAGGAAACGGAACAGGCTAGATTGCACGTGCTAAAATAAAGACTTTTAAAGAGTTAAGTAAGGAATGACTCACAAGAGCCAGAGAACGACAGAGGCAGATGGGGGCAGAGTGAGGTAGATGGGACATAGTGAAGACGCTTCGGTATGACCCAGCAGAGCAGAGACGAGCAGAGCACTTCAGGGTCTTTGTTTTCTAGCAGGTCAGATAGCGTTGAAGTCCTCGGCTGAAACCGCGCACAGTCTTTTCCTAAGGGAGGTGTGTGTGTGTGTGTTTGTGTGTGTTTTGGGGGGCGTCACTGAAAATCGCCACCACGGCTGGTCCTGAGGCTCGTGGCCGCGCGCCACCTGGTGGCAGCGGGAGGAGAGCCCTAGCGGAGGAAGGGGAGAAATCCAGAATTTTATTCGGCAGTAACTTCAAGTGAGCTGAGGCGATGTGCTTATGTGAGTATTGCCATCTTACCACCGATTTTTCAGACAGGTAAAAACCAGAGCGGAGGTGGGAACAACGGTCCGGAAGGGGACACTCTTAAAACAGCTCTTTAAGGCACACGGAGCCGGGATTCCCCAAGTTTTCTTTGATGGCATCAATGGCCCTGATCTTAGTTTGCCCATCTGTTCGATGGGCAGGGTGCGGGTAATGAAAGAAGAGGAAGAGAAACTTTAGCCTTTCCCGCCCACCCGGAGGTAAAAGGCTTTAAACACTTCTCCGGAAAGCAGAGTTGTATAGATTCTATTTGCATACGAACGCAGTCACCTCGGGTTAAACTCAGGTCCTTTAATCTCTGCTCCAATTTGTCGCGCAGCCGGGGAGGAAAGCCCTCCAGAGTACCTACACACCCCGCCCCCTGAGGCCTTCCCCCACAGGGCTGGGCTTGGTTGCACGTGCTCACCGGTTCCCGGTGGATCCACCTCCTTGGAAAGACTCATTATTAGTGCAGGGAGATCCTCGGAGCCACAGGGAAACCTGGACCCTGCACAAGTTGCAATAGAGAGACTGCTGTGACATAACCATCTATTTTGCATATACATGTATATATAAGTCAGAAGTTTTATTAAAGTCTGTGATAGCGGTAGGCTTGGATTCTCCCTCCTCAGGACTGCCTATTTTTCCGCTTCACCTCTTTAATTGGTAGAGTCCCGTGCGGCCAGCCTCGCCGGGCGGACTACATTTCCTAGCGCGCCCCGCGGGCCTGTGCGTGCCGGCGGCGCGTGACGTCAGAGGAGGGAGCTGGCCAGTGCTGAGGGGGCGCGGCGCGGAGGGGCGCGGAGCCGGGCGGCTCGGGGGCCCAGAGTGCGCGGCGGCCGGGAGCCCGCTGGCTCCTGACAGCCCCCTCCCCCCCGGCGGACTACCACGACGACGACTGCGAGGGCGCGAGTCATGGCGGAGCGGCGAAGCCAGCGGGGGCCCTGAGCACCGCCGCATGGAGCGGGACGAACGGCCACCTAGCGGAGGGGGAAGCGGCGGGGGCTCGGCGGGGTTCCTGGAGCCGCCCGCCGCGCTCCCTCCGCCGCCGCGCAACGGTGGGTGAGGGGCCTTCGGAGCCCGGGCGGCCCCAGCGCCGGTGACCCCCTCTTTCTAGAAGCCGGCTCTGGCCCCGGGATGCCGGGCGGCCCCTCGGCGTGGACTCCACCCTGGGCTCGCACTCTCCGCGCAGGGTCCCGGTCCCCCCTCCTCCGGCTCGGACCCTCCCCTCCCCCCCCGACCCCTCTGCGCTAGCGCTTTCTCCTCCCCAAGGGGCCCCTGGTGCTCGGAGCACCCTCTTCCTTCACCGGCGGGCTCGCAGACGCCACACCTTGGCACCCTGCACCTATCCCAGGGCGTTTTCCTCCTCCGGAGCCTCGGCTCGTGCGCAGACCCCGAGCGGTCCTCCACGGACCTCGGCGCCCGCTCCTGTCCTCCCCCCGCCTCCCCTTCTCCCGGTCTCCTCGGAGGCGAGGACTTTCTGCCGGCTCGGGTCTCCGGCGGGGTCCCGGGCTCGGGGACACCTGCCTTTTTCGGGCGTTTGTCGGACGCCTCCCGCGCCGCGCAGCCTAGCCCTTCCGGGGTGCGGAGCATGCCTCACCTGGCCGGGCGGCCGGCGTCCTCTCGTCCCGGCCCGGTCCTCAGGTTCCTCCGGGTCGGCTCCCGCCCCCTCCCCCGCTCAGTGTTTTATTTGTTTCTGTTTGATATTTCCCCCTTCGGTGTTTGCGGCGGAATGTTTTTATTGGTAAAGTGTAAGGAGCTTTTGTGAGGTCGTAAAAGGTGAACTTTTGAACTTGGAAAGCGCCCTGGAGCAATTAGCGCAGGCGATAGCCCCGGGAGGCCTGCATTACAAAGGGTGCTCGTTGCGGCAGGCAAACGCTCCCGCGGCAAACCCGATTTATTTATTTATTTGCCCTGCCTTCCACCTTTCACATCTCATTTCCGAATAAAGGGCAGGCTCTCAGAGATCCCTGCCTCCTCCCCTCTCTGCGCCATAAACGCGCAATTCTCTGGAAGATCTAGGACCCGAGCAATGTCTAACAAGTAACAGATTTCAGATTGAATGCAAACACCGGGGACAGTTAGGAGGCACTAAAAATTAATTGCTTTGGCAAGAAGTTTCTCAATCGGGACAGTGACCTGGCAGGTGTGGGGAAAGCAACCTGAAAATGGGTGACTCAGACCCTCGGTTGTGGAATGAATGAATGGGGAGTCACAGAAGAGAAATCTTGAGTTGGATTTGCTTCTTCCTAAGATTATTAATTCATCAAACATCTATCGTTAAATTCAGCAGATCTTTAGTTTCCCTCTCTCTTTAATGCCAGTTAAGAGGAAAAGTCTGTTTGGAAGTGAGCCTGGTTGATTTGATATGATGGTGATCAAATGGTGATGTTTTCAAAGCTCTTGAGTTTTAAAGATTTGTGGGATCTAGGTGGCCGGGCATCCGGTGGGGACAGATTCTGAATGTGAACATGTTTGGGATCAATAAAATCCCACGTCACAAAGGGGAAGGAAGGGATATAGTTACGATAGAAAGGGACAGTGTCTAGAAGAACAAAGACTGGTTTTGGCGTTTTAAAAGTTAATTTACGCACAGATTTGGTTTGGTATTAATTTGTGAATGTTATATATAATTCTTGATGTAAAATTTGCTACGCAGGTTTTTTTAATTCATCTCCAGATCTATCGGAAAGCCCTGTTAGTGTATTTTCGTAATGCCTTCCTGTTTGCAAATAGTTTCTGCCCCCACCTGTGCTTACAATTAGATGACAGGTTTTACTGCAGCCATCACTTTCAGTTCTGCCTGAGAATATTATTGTAAGTAAAGCCAGAGAACAATGTACTTGTTATTAATTATTCATTGGAACATTTTAAAGAACTGAGTGGTAATTTTAGCTCTTAATCAGATTATTTGTTAATACTCATCTTTTCCTTAACTGATGAGAACCATTTAAAAGAATCATAAGGAACAATCAATCCGTTAAGGCTAAAAAGTGTTTTTAATATTTCACATCAGTTCAAGTTACTGATACAAATATATTCTTTTTGCTGAAAAGACAATGGGAACGTCTTTGTTTCAAAAGAAAATACGAAATTTTTGTAGCATAGCTTGTTTTTCAGTTCAAAAAATTTAGTATCGTGTATGTAGTGTTTTACAGTTTATGTTAATTAGTACCCAAGAAGTGCTCAGAAGAATTTTCAAAATACAAAATAAAGTTTGCATTTGGAATAGTGGACTTGCTTTTTTCTTCCTTCCTAATGAATATTTTCCTCCAAAAATAATTGAAATTGTTTGTTTTAACTTTTCATCCTGGTGATATTTCCATTTTTCCTGAGGTCGTTATCTGGAGAGGAGGTCTTTGGTCTGTGTTAGGAAGAAGTAAAGTCCATTGATGCCGAATTTACAGTCCTCCAGATGTTTTTATGTTTCCATCAGAACAGACTTGCTAGCCTTTCGATGCAGCACCACCTCCCTGGAATCCCTCGTGCTGATTCTGCTGTTTTCAGCTGTTCTTGTGGTTTTCATAACTAACTCATTTAGTTGTGCTAGTGATTGCTCCCTTTTGGGATTTCAAAGGAAGATGAACGATTTGAGGAAGCATTTGTTCATTTTTCAAGAGAGTGAGGGAATAGATTTTTAAATATTTAAAGCAAAAGGAGGCGACAAGCCATTATAAGGAATTAAATAATAAATAACATTTCACATTATTTTACTTTGCAGGAAATGAGTTCATTAAATACTGTGTGCTCCTCACACATGACTTTACCAATAAAATGCTTGTTAACAAGTATTTTACATCTCACATTTAACTTTTTAGAACTTTTTAGTTCTTTGACTTGAAAACTTAATTCTGAATCAACTGAGAATTTTTAGGTTTCCTTAAGGAGAAATCTGAGGTGTTAAATGGCCAAATTTCCAATCTTGGATAAACCATTTGCAAATGCTGAGCGTGCCTCTCATTTGCAGAGTATGAGCATAACATGCTTACTAATTTGATTCTACATTTTGCAGCAGAAAGTTTTATGCTTGTACAAATATTCAAAAAGCTGTTAGAAGGGAAGCTAATGAAAAAAAACGCGCCAGATTTTCAATGCATTACTCAAATTATACATATCAATATTTTTTATTTCCTCCATTTTTACCCCCCGGGTTGTAGGGCAAAGGTAGAAAATACATTTCAGGTTAAATCACATAATTTTAGAACAGTTGCTAAAATATTTTTTAAATAGAATAAGAAAATAACTTATTTGTGTGTAAAGACCAAATTATAGCCATCTTATTTGTGAAGAAGGGTCAGAATCAGAGAAAGCTCTTTCTATAGATAAACATGTATATAGCCCCCTAATGTGTCCACAGGGGTAGTGGTGCGATATGCGCAGTTCTTAGTAATATTGTGAATGTATTTTCAAAACAAGTTGTGAAGAAAAGTGTTTGCTTTCAAGTTTTTGTATTCTTGTGATCAACTTAAAATAATTTTTTATTAAATGTTTTTCTGGATTAGGTAATTCTTTGAACATTTGTGAATGTCTGATAAATGGAAATCAGAGATGTCAGAATTATTACGTTGTCAAGGAGGCTTGTTACTGAACAAGGGAATTTTGTTTTGGATATTGAGGTTTTTGTAGCTCAAGTTTTGGATTCATCTTATCTTAATTGTACATTTTAGAAACATCATGGAATGTAATGTTATACAGTATTTCTAAAGTCAACCCCAGCCTTTTCATTTCTCAGTGTTTACATCATGTTTAGGGTGTTAGGGTTAAGTTATGGAATAGCAGGAGGAAAAAAAAAACAACACCCAAACCCAAAACATTGTGAGATATCTATTGTTTAGAAATAAGTAAGCATAATTTATTTGAATGAACTATTTCTTGAATATTTTCTTATGCTGACCTGTTAAACAACATTCTTTCTAGAATAGCTTTTGAAGAAAACAGATTTGTTTTCCTGTGGGTTACAGTTATTTAAATTATTTTAATAAGACTTTTCTAGTTGTACTCAGCAATTCTAATTAACAGTGATTTAGCTTGGGAGGGACCAGGATTTCCTCAGCTGGCTGCTGGGGAGCTGAATTGCTTTTTTCCCCACCCCCAGCTGCACAGAATCGTTTGATCCCCATGCTACCATGCTTGTCATTTGAGAAAGCGAATTGGGAGAAAATAAATTTGGGAAGATAGCCTACTGGAGCTTCATTTGCAGTTTTGAAATATTTGTTCTTAAATTTTAGGAACAATTGTACTTCAAACTTTTAACATATTGGAAGCAAGCTGGCTTTACTATGATGTCTAGGAGAAAATTTCCAGATTTTCTTAAAAAAAAATACAGGTTTTTGTTTTAAAATTTTCAAAAGTTATCCTTTGGTACAGTGGAATTTTTTCAAGGTAGTTTGTGGTGTTTCCTGTATTATATAATCCCAGATGAAGAAATTGGAAATTGTTAAGTTTTTTACAGATAGATGCTGTAACTTTATTATATTAAGAATTAACTTTGACAATTATCTTAAAAGATGATAACTTTGCATCCTAATTGTAAGCTCTGAACCCTTAAAATTGTTTACGGGGGAAAAGCTATTCAACCATAAACCACAGATGGCAGCAGTAGTGTATTTTTTTGTTTTCTAGATTGAATTTTGCTTTTCAGTAGGCGTCAATTCTAAGGACACTGTTGATAAGTCAGCTGTCAGGTATAGTGTTTCCTGAACAGCAGCATGTAATGTAGTCTGGGAAACAGATCCTAGCATCTGATTTGGAGATAACACTGTGGGTGGTTTGTGCCAGAACAGTGACTTACTTCTGCTGCCAAAGTGAGATTAAAAAAAAGAATTGGTAATGGTCGTTAAAATAATTGTTAGAATAGTGAGCTCTAGCAGCTTGGGTCTATGGTTGCAGTGTGTTGTTACTGATGAATGTGTCTTACAGTTTGCTCGGACTACTGTTTTCATTGAAAACTATTAAATGTATTTGAGGCTAATTTTGAGGGAGTGATGCGTGATTAAATTCTTTCATGTAGAATTTCTCAGCTTCTTAACTTTCTACTCCTTTCATTTGATAGAACCAT